TAGCCAATGGCTTGTGCTAGAAAGGACAGTGCGAAGTTTTCAGCTTTTCTTTCGTCATCAGCATTCGCTTCTTTTCCAGTCATTACTGCACGCATTAGTACTTGTTTCTTTTCCGCCTTGATTTTTTTTTTTTTTTTTTTAAATCTTTCTGTTGAGGATTTCTTCCAGGATCCCGGAACTGGTAGTCTCGCTTATTTAAGGGAATCTTTTATATTCCTGGTTCCATGCAAATTCCTTGGTGGTTCCAAACTTTATTTGTTGTTCTCTCCTTTCTAGCCAAGACCATCTTTACTTTTGACTCCTGAAGTCCTATTAGCCCAGCTACTCTTCCGCATCAGTGGAAACGGCTAACCACTTTGCTTCCTCATGATACTGACTTTGCCACTACTTTCCTGTAATGTTGTATTTGAAATCTGAACTCATAGTAAGAAAAGTCATGCATAATGGTTAAGATTTGTAATAACCTTTTATATGTTGTATTGCGGTGTGTGTGTATGTGTATTCTCTTTTCTGGATTCTTGTTTTACTTTGTGCCCCATTGGTCAAGTTTCTACTAATTACTAAGGCTCAATCATATTCAGAAGGAGAATATTTTTGTTGAGCAGCATTTAGGAGTTTGGTAGCATGCAGAATTTGCAAGAAAAAGGAAACTCAAAGTCAGGAAGACTGATAAGTGACCCAGTCAACCTGAGTCCCTGGGCACCACACTTACTTTTTGCTTCAATAAAGTCTGCTTCAAAGCAATCTCAATCCTTCATCAAAGAGATTTCCAGAGCACTCCCAATGGGTTAACATAAATCTTACTGTTCTCACTCTTTTTTCCCCCCTTCCAAGTTGCCTTTCAAAAAAATCAGTCCTTGTGTCTCCATTTCTTTAAATCTTTTATCCTCGGGCCGCTACCAGTGGCTGTATGGATTACATATCAGCAGTTAAGAATATTCCACAAAGTCCTGGCTTGTTCTCACCCTGCAGTGCTTACAGTCACCGATTGTGATGAAAGGAATTTGAAAGGCACAGCCAGGCAATCCTTAACCGGCTCAGCACATTCCCTCTCTGCGGCTTATCACGCTGTAGATGTTCTTTTGACCAGCCATCAGTCATGTTTGAAACTTTCCCGTGATTCCTGAGATATGAACCCCTTTGATAGAAGTTAACAATACAGCCCATGCAGCACGGGCTAAGGAAAATACTTTTGACTTCATGTTAAAGAAATGCTTTGTTCCAGCTCAGATTTTTATACTTTCTTAGTGTCTCCTTTCTCCTGGGTAGCCTCCATGGCCCCCCGCCAGGCAAGCCAAGTGTGAGCACCCACGGATGCTTAAGTGGCTGTCATAACCATAGAAGAAAGGCACCTAGAGGGAGATTGAGAGGAATAAAGAGGAGCAGAAAAAGAGGTGGAGCAGAGACAGAAGGAGACGAAAAGAAAATGAAAAGAGCATATCAAGTCGAAGACAGAAGGTTTTGAAATGTTTTGGGGAGCAGGAGGTTTGTTCGTTATTTGTATCTTACCGTATGTGATTCCTTCCTTGTTTTTAAAAATTTAGGCTTTAGGGGCACCTGGGTGGCTCAGTCAGTTAAGCGTCCGACTTCAGCTCAGGTCATGATCTCACAGTTTGTAGGTCTGAGCCCTGCGTTGAGCTCTCTGTTGTCAGCACAGATCCTCTGTCACCTTTCTCTCTCTGCTCCCCCCACCCCCCGCGTGTACTCTTCCTCTCTCTTTCAAAAATAAATAAACATTAAAAAAATAAATAAAAATTTAGGCTTTACTTTAAATTTTTTTAATGTTTATTTATTTTTGAGAGAGAGAGAGAGAAAGAGAGAGAGAGAGAGCACAAGCAGGGGAGGAGCACAGAGAGATAGGGAGACACAGAATCCAAAACAGGCTCCAGGCTCTGAGCTGTCAGCACAGAGCCTGACACAGGGCTCGAACTCACAAACCGTGAGATCATGACCTGAGCCAAAGCCAGATGCTCAACCGACTGAGCCACCCAGGCGCCCCTAGGCTTTACTTTAAAAAATTTGAATTTTTATGCCTGGTTCAGGGTAGCAGGGCAGATAACTCTGCTATGCTGGTGAGAATTTAGCTCTGAGCTCTGGGGGCTAATATTTAAACATCAAAGAAGACAAGGAGCCCTCATAGCAATCAGGCAGACTTCATTTTCAGTTATTTTAACTGAAAGAGAAGAGAGGAGTCTTCTGCAAAATTATGGGGCCCTGGACCCCCATATTATCATGCATTATTGTGCATGGACGGGGTGTTGATTGCGCAGTGCTATGGGAAAGCTATTTATCAACTGAGCAACATAAAAATTAAGTGCCACCTACATCCCTGTGTTGAGGGTTGGAGATTGGAATTAAAATGTCACCCTTTCTTTTATCTTCAGCTGTGGTTTGGAGGCACTTCCCTGGAGGGTTGATTTGCTCCTTCTTTCTACTGCGTTGGAATAATTCCATTAAAAGTCTTTTGCTTACTCAAGTAAAACACCCTACCAAGTGAGTGGCATTTGGCAAACTCACTCCCTTTTCTTGATTATTCTGGTCTATTGATCTGTGTCTCTGGAGAAATTCTGGAAACTTCCAAGAAGTCTTTTGCAGTTTAAAATATTATCTCCCTGGCGATTAACTCAAATCAGAGGCTAATAAGATGAATTCCTTCCTTGCATTGGCGATCCCAGGTCTTCCTTCACTCCCATCAATCCTCCAGCTCTCAGAGACCTTAGAAATGAAGAAGTATATTTGTCACCAGTGGGTAGCAAGGCAGTGGAACAATTCAGATTGGCTAGACAGAAATAAATGCCTTTGCAGGAAAAGTAGAGGGCGCACAGTGGGTTGTAGGAAATTGGAAAGAGGGAATTTTGCATGGATATGGTGGAAAGATAAACCTCATTCTGACTCTAACCTCTGTTTTTTTTTTCCTTCCCCTCCCCCATGGGTTTCTGTTAAGTTTCTCAGGATCCACATAAGAGTGAAAATATATTCATCCTATCACTGGTAAAATTCTGTGAGGTCTGGATCCAAATCATTTGCCACTGGGAGCAAGGGGAAAAAAAATGAAAATGTCTTCCTTTGTACATTATTTAGGAAACATCATAATTGGCTTTTGAACTCCTGGAACACACAAAGAAAGAAGGCAGTAAGCTTTTTCAGAGAGTCTACTTTCTCCTGAAGAGCAGAGAGCAAAAAAAATGAATGATGGGCTACTTCTAATTTATAATGATGGTTTCATCTCTTCCAGATATTACTTCAGTTCTTGGATGATCGCTTCTCCCCACCTGAATCCCAATTGCTTTTTAAAGATGAAAAAGATCACAGAGGCTATAGAGTCCATTTCTAGTCATTACAAGTTTGCAACGTACACATGGCTTCCGATACTAGTTTAAATTTCTTTGAATAATGAAAATTTTGGTTTTTATTTTTTTCTTTGATTCATAGCTTGATTGACAAACAAATGCTTGTAAATAAAGCTGGGTAGTTCATATCTCTTTTTAAATTTTGTTTGTGCCAAAGCCCAGATTTCAGGTCTCCTCAACTAAGTTCTTTTGAACATAACTAGTGGCTTACTTTATTAGAAGAAACCAAATAGGCAACATGAGAAAGACTGCTAATACGTATATGTCTTACATAATAAGAACATAGGGTGGTTAGCAAGAAACATATAAAGTGTCTTATAATATTGAGGTGGGTTATCCTTTCGTGCTTGCTGTTGGATCTGGCACTTTTTGTTTTTTAACGTAGGCTGTAGTTTTAGGTATTCTGAAGCTCTGACCACTTTCATTCATACTTACATAAAAAAAAAAAAATTGGAATGCTCCCCAAAAGAAATGGTAATGTTTTATGCTACTTTTTTTTTAAGAAAGAGAATTTGATCTTTAGCAAAGAGCAAGGATAAAATCCATGTATTAATCATTCCCACTGCCTTTGTCCCAAATTTAAGATTATTGCTTCTCTCTCTGCTTCAACATCTTCTTTAACTGATGCTTCTTCTTTTAGACAGGGAAAAATAAGGATAAAGGGTAGAATATATGGGGACAAATGATAGGGCAAGATGTATTCATTCTCTAGGAGCAGGAACCATATCTTCTTTAGCATGGATTCCAGTCTCAGCCTGTCTCACTTTGCCAAATATTTAGAACAGCAGCTTGAATCAGAATCATTTGATTTTGTTGATGGGATAAATGAGTAAGAAGACAGGATTTGTGGGCAAGTCTAGACCAATAGTTTCTGGAGTGTGGTTCTGTGTAACCCTAGTCTAGATATATACCTCATGAAAGTATTCTGTACAAAAAATTCTGGGTAGGAGAAAACAGATGGAAAAACATTACGTATTATATTTGATTTAGGGGAGTCAAAATATACATTAGTATATTAAGGACTGTGAAAAAGTCCCATAGGAAAGAAATCTGTGGGACAGGAATAAACCCAAGGTGTTTCCAATCTATTTGACCGTGGAACTATTTTTCCTCTTTTTCGAAACTTCCCTCCTCTTAAAGTCTCACAGAACCATGCTGTGATTAATGTCCTGGATTAAGGTAGATTGGATTAAGATTGGAAAATCTTGTCTTCTTTGGGAACTGGATTCAAGATGTGTTTATTTTGAACACGCACAGTGCCTTCAGCTATCACAGGAAACCCCATTAGTAAGAAAAGGTAGCCAATGAAGTCAAAACCTTCATTTCCTATGAGGTCAGAAAAAAATCAGTGGAAACAAAAATGTCAATGAAATATTGCTTTGAGAGGAACCAGATACAACTTGAAATATAAATGTCTATTATGGGAAGCAGTGGTTGGGTCTGCCTAAAATGTTTGCTGTTGAAGAGTCACGGGCTTAATATAATCTTCCAGAGAGAAACTGTGTGCTCTCCTGGAATGCATAACAATTTGGCATGGGCAAGCAGTGTGGACTGATGATTTTATGTGTCTTTGATTTTTTCGTGTTTTTCTAGAGTCAGAGTGGACTGAAAAAATCAGGCCCCATAAATATTTTTTCTTATATTTGTAAGGCTCGTGAAGAGATTTACCATGAAGAGGCCAGTGTACCGTTTCCTGGGCAAGCTTCGTTGTGTCTTGCTCTGTTCTGAGCATCATTAGAGCCCTCGTTTGAGACAAATGGGCTCCATCATTTCTTCACCATTCAGGCCCGTAGGAGGAAGATGGCACGTGAGTGAAGCTTCGACATGGCAGTCACCTTCCCTTTATTTCTGCTCTCCCTTCTTTTTGGGTAATGAATCGGGGTGTCGTTAGCTGCCTGCCTTGTGTTCATCACTGTCAGTACTGGCAGGGTAACAGATAATGGCAGAGATTCAAGGCCACCCAGGGAATGAAGCCTGACAGGACCTCATTTATCACTCCCCTTTTAGGGGGTCTCTGTGGTAGAGCTAGCATCAAAGCTGTAATCGAAGCTCACCAGGTCGCACAGGGGCCAGGCAGGATTGCTCCGCCAAAAAGCAACTGGAGCTGTCAAATCTGTTTTGTAAATGAAGTGCTTTTCTAGAGACAGTGTTGTTTATAATTGTCATTCTGTACGTAGTCCCTCAATATCCAAGAGCTGTTCTCCATGTGCTCCCTCTCATTTCTTTCCGACAAATGAAACTTACATTCTGTAGAGAAAAGGTAAGCCAGAAAATGGATTTCTTTGACCTTGGCTATACCACAGCATACTCTAGTTCCGAGGTTTATCTTTTTGCCCTCAAGGATTTGAGTGTCACCTATTTGAGCAGCTCAATTATTGAGAGCAGGTGGGAACGGCCTGACTTGAGAACTGCCTCTTCCCTGGGCAAGTCTATTTCAAGGCTAACCTTCATCCATATATGTCAACAACTTCCAGGTTTATATAAGCAGCCAGCTCAGTCCTGTATTCTCCATTCCAGAACCATATGTCCAAGTCTCTACTTGGAGATTCCACAGGCCCCTCAGATCCATATCCCAGACAGGATAGATCATGTCGACTCCAAACCTGCTTCCCATCTGTATTTTCATCCTGAAGAAATGCACCATCTTCCAACAGGAGAAGAAAAGCATCCGAGATGCTTTGCTCATTTTTACCCTTCTCTAAAATCTAATCAAAACGAAATTTGTTGGAACCAGTTCCTAAGTATCTCCTCCATCTCCTTGTCCCACCTAGATCTTTTCAATAGCTTTCTTATTGCTCTTCCTGCACTTACAATCCCTCAATATTGAATGACCTGCCTGCCCTAGAAGATGCTAGTCCTTTAATGTTCCTGTGCCTTTTTGCATGCTGTTTCCTCTTCCAGGAATGTTCTCCCAATACATGCTCCCTCAGCAGATTCTATTCACTATTTAATTCTCAGTGCAGGGACTTTGTTATCTGTAAAAATGTCTCCAACTCTCTTCCAGTCATTTACTACTTGTTTTAAGGTTGTTGTTGTTGTTTTTCTTTCATGCCTCCTTTCCACCCCGATGCAAATGTTATTTACTGAGAGCTCCCAACTGTCAGGTACTGTATTAGTTTCTTTACATAGTTGTATTTAATTCCCAAGTTAGCCTGTATGATAGATACTGTGAGACCATTTGTACAGATGATGAAACCAAGGTTCAGACTGATTAAATAGTTTCCCCAAATTCATACATGTAGTAAACGGTGGTAATGGGCTTCACCTCCAAGCTGCTGCTCTTCCCATTGTTTTAAACTATATCTGCTCATGCGTTGAGAATAAGCACTGTGTGTTTTTGTTTTCATTTTCCGAGTGCTGAACACAGTGTTTGTTAGGATAGACATTCAACAGGTAGTTACAGAATGAATGAAACTCATAAAAGACTCCGTCTATTTATACCCACAAGGTACATTGTCTCTGTTTTTCACAACAACCCTGAATTACTGGCATTGATTTGCCCAATTTTTGCAGCGGTGGAAACTGAAGCTCACGCAGTTAAATGACTTTGCTAAGGTCATATATGAGGCCGAGTCAACGCTTTCTTTCTCTATAGCCCATATTCTCAACACGGCACGCTAGCTGTCAAAGAGTGACTTCTCCGATGGCAATGAATGAATCGGCATCAAGAAAGGGATATAGAGACATTAAGAGCGTATGATTCAGGTTCAAATGCATTCCTGTGCCCTTCAAGGCTTTCTGTAGTTTCATTATATTCTTTCCAGCCAGGTTTCTCTAACACAACTCTGAGATATCCATTTCCCTTCTGTTTAGTTAGACTAGCGTCTTCACCTGCCCTCTGACACATCATGCCTGTTTCTGATCTCCGATTTTACTCACACTCCTTCCACTGCCTGAAGTGCCCTTCTCTCCTGCTGCACCCAGCCAAATCCATACATCTCTCAAGGACAAGCTCAAGTTCCATCTCTTCTGTGAACTATTCCCCATAGCTCCATCCTGCCCGCCCTAACCAAACATAATGTTGTCCGCACCTTATATTTCGGCCTTGGTTACATAATTCAATTGTGTTGCCGTATACTGTCTCGTATCCTGTAATTACTTCAGCACCCAAGGTTTATTCCCAGGAATATTGCAAACTGCTTGACAGGAAGGACTGTGCTATATATTTCTTTTATATTCCCCACAGTGCATAGCACAATTCTAGGTGGGCCCTCAATAAATATTCATTGAGTTAAATCGAATATGGCACAGACTACATTTAAACCTTCACAAATTTTCTTTTCATAAATTATACAAGCCTAGACAAGAGGATTATTGCAGGGAACCAATGAATATACTCAGTCTGCGCAAGTACACGTGAGATCGCAGGACCGCGATGCAGGCTCTTGGACAAAAAGGAGCGGGTAAAATGGGATTTGGTGCCACGGGTGGGAAGAGGAAGACTGTGCCGGATCAGAGAGGAGGGATGATAGTAGCTGCAGCAAGAGAAGTGAATGAGAGCTCACCACCCAGAAATGTGCCTCCATACCAGAGAGACTGCCAAGGACTTCCGTTTTCTGAAGTTCTTAACAAGTTAAATAATTTGACAATGTGTTCTTTGGTAGTCAGGAGATTTGCTAACCAAATATCTTGCTGGGTCAGCAAAATAACACTACTCTCAATCATTTCTGCACAGGTGGAATGCAGCGTTTTCAGAGTTTTATTAACAAAAAAATACTTCTATTTCTTTGTGCTGCTCCTGCTCCCAATGTTCTCTCCCTTTCTGTCTCTCTTCTCTCTTACTCACACACACACACACACACACACACACACACACACACACACACTCACACACACTCCCTCACACTTACACACTCACACAGACATGCATTGTCTCTTTCACTTGGATAGTCCTCCCTGAATATTTGGGATGATAATAGCCTCTCCTAAGTGACTAGATTCTTGAAAGATTTTGCGATTTTTTTTAAACTTTTATCTTGGATATACATGTTTGAAGATATGGAGGCAGCTGGTGTGTGGAATTTGACTCATTAAAATGACATGACTCTAAAATAATCATTCAGACAAAAAATGACATTATATCAAACCATTCACAACCTTGATGTATCCCTGGGGATTTTTCAGCGTCCTTATTTTTTAAATATCTGGCTTTTTTCCCCCTCTCCTGACCTCATTCCTGTACTTGAAGCTTCTGGATTATTGCCAGGAACACTTTCCGAAACAGTACTGAGAAGATAGAAACCTAACATTCCAGAAGCACAGATTGGGATTAAATGGCAACTCAAGGGACTATTTTGTCCATTTCCTTGCTTTCTAAGGGGAGAGAAATCATAAAACATTTCCATTCACTTGATTGCAATTGAAAATCCTTAAATATCTCCAGGGAAAAACATGCTACCACCTTACCAGGAAATAGTTTCTGATGTTCCATAAATGCTTTCAAACATTAAGAAATTCTTCTCTATAAGGCAATGCTTTTATATCTTCATCGCTCTTTTTCTTCTTTCTTCTCTTTTTGATTCTTGGTGCTTAATCATGAAGCAATGATTAGTTCCCATTTGAAAGCTTTCTGATTCCACTAAGGAAATAGTTTTTGGGAGGTAACAGACAAAAACTGGCTGTTTTTGGCTGGCTGGCCCATCCCAGATCCACATATCTCCACCTCCCAGCTGAGTGTGACCGTGTGACAAGGTTCTGGCCAATGAGTTCAAACAGAGGATGCTGTTTACAGACTTCTAGAAGGTAAGGCATTTGTGTTATTTAAGCTGCTAAGTTTGCGACAGCTCGTTACAGTAGTAACAGGAAACGAACACACTAGGTTTGCTTGTTTTCCTACTTAGCCTCTCTATTCTACACAGCTCCTCGGTGTCTCCCTCTTCTCCCCCCTTCACCTTGTGCTATGAGGACTATTAGTCTTTCTTATGAATCCATTAGAACTTTAGACAATAAACTAGAAATAGGCACTTAAATTCTTCTTTCTTTGGGTAATTGCTCTCAGGTTCCTATTAAATGTAGCCATTTTCACCATGAAGATGGCACTATTGAGCCCATTTAAGTTACATCTCTCATCACTTTGAACTTGGGTTACTGTAGCAACCTTCTCAGTGTTCTCCATTCTATATTTTATCCCCCTAACTAGATACAACAGGTTTTTCTTTGTTTTTTGTTTTAAATGTTTATTCAGGGGTGCCTGGGTGGCGCAGTCGGTTAAGCGTCCGACTTCAGCCAGGTCACGATCTCGCGGTCTGTGAGTTCGAGCCCCGCGTCGGGCTCTGGGCTGATGGCTCAGAGCCTGGAGCCTGTTTCTGATTCTGTGTCTCCCTCTCTCTCTCTGCCCCTCCCCCGTTCATGCTCTGTCTCTCTCTGTCCCAAAAATAAATAAACGTTGAAAAAAAATTAAAAAAAAATGTTTATTCATTTTTGAGAGAGAGCGTGAGCAAGTGTGAGTGGGGGAGGGGCAGAGAGAGGGGGGACAGAAGATCTGAAGTGGACTCTGTGCTGACAGCAGCAGGGCCTATGTGGGGCTCGAACTCACGAACTGCGAGATCATGACCTGAGCCTAAGTTGGACGTTCAACTGACTGAGCCATCCAGGCGCCACATACAACAGATTTTTCTAATGTGACACTTTCGTCATGCAATCCTTGATCAAGAATCTACACTGCTCCATTTCCTAACTAACAGAGACTCAGTCTTCTTTTGAGCCTTCATAATGTGATCCTACTTTGTATTTCCAACCAGAACTTAAACTTTCTGTTTGATTGGGTTACTCTTCTCTCCCATCTCCTATGTCATAACAAATC